AATAATAATAATAATAATAATAATAATAATAATAATAATAATAATAAACATCACACTAGAAATTCAAAAAAAAAACATATAAATTCAAAAAAAACATAGAAATTAAAAATTCACAAGAACACCAGAAATTCAGAAACATTACACTAGAAATTCAAACACACAACCCACTAAAAATTAGAAGACAAAGACTTCAAATTGTCATCATTTCGGGCTCTGCCTCACAATTTGCCAAAACTCAACAAGCTTGAAATCTTTGTCAATTTCAACACGGTAAGCCTCAAGAGCATTCTGTAGCAAAGTATTTTCGTCTTCACCATTTCCGGCATCATGCATCACCCTGCGAAACACAATAGTAAACCGAGTTGCGAGTGTGTGTGCGTTTCTCCATTTGGGGTAGAGTAGATCTTTTCTTTGTGGTTGAAGGGCTTGACGGTTATATATGTCGGCGACTCTACTCCAAAAAGTATTCGAAAGGTAGTCATTGTAGTGTGGATCTTCTGCTACATCAATCCATGAACGAGCGAGTAAGATCTCTTCTTCGGTCGACCAAACAATAGCCATTTTTTATGAGGTGTGGAAAAGAATGGAAAAATAAGAAAGTTAAGAGAATAAAATTAAGAAGATTTGAATAGGGTTAAGAGTGAATAAGGATGAGGGTGTTTATGGTTGAAGATTGAGGGTTTAAATTTTGAAATTTTGAAAAAAAAAACGGTTATATTTATGAAATTATGTATTTTTTGGAAAGAGGGTAATTTTTTAAAAAGAGGTTTAAGTAATAAATGGTTTAAAGGGAAAAATAATAATAATAAAATAAAAAACTCTCTCATCGGGTTCATCCTCGCCGAGTTGTCGAGGCCTCAGTCCGGTGTTCGTCGAGTTCACCGAATGCAAGCCGATTGTCACACCCACCAACCTAAGGGGAATGATAATACTCTTAATATCTTGTCACATCACATTTTTGGGTAGGGGTGTGTAAGGGGCGGTTTGGAGCGGTTAATAGCAAAAATCGAATCATAACCAAATTATTCGGTTAATATATTTTGTTAACCATTACTAGGTGGTTAAAATCGGTTTTGGTTAATGGTTAAGTGGTTAATTCAAGTGTGGTTATCGGTTAATTTTGGTTAACCAAAAAGGTTATAAAAAGTAAATTTATTTCAAAGAAAAGTAAAATTCATTACCATAAAATATAAGCAACAAAAATTACATTGCTTAGAAAATTGGTTGTTTTACTAATTTTTCTCAAAACTATCAACTACTAAAATCAAGAAAATGCATTTACTACTAAAATCAAGAAAAAAAACATGAAACGTCAACTATAAATGCAAAGTGAATACTCATTTAGTCACTTACAACTAAAGTTAAGAACCATTTACTACTAAAGGTGACCCAAATGTCAAGACAACAATATCATTGTACTAATTTCTAGTTACACAAAAAAAAAAATCCTTCAATCTTGAATATTCAATCCTCATCCATCAACAAATCATTACATGATTTTGTTCTCTTTGAAAAGTAATCTACAATAAACAACATTTCACAAATTGTTAAAATTTATATGGAAAAAGATTACAAAATATAACTCATTAAACGAGGAAAAGGTTACTGGTTACCAATTTTTAGTTTCTCCAAATTCACCATTAGTTCTTGTAGTTGTAGTCCATGAATAGTGTCTCTTGCAAATCCGATGGTGTAGAACGTAGCCATTCTTGTGTGCATATCAACGCTTCGGCGGTCTTTGGTGTAAGAGAACTTCTAAATTTGTCAATAACCCTACCACCGGTACTAAATGCCGACTCACTAGCAACGGTTGAAATTGGCATTCCCAAAACATCTTTTACAATTTGAGAACGTATAGGGTACTTGCCCGAATTGAGATTCCACCAACTTAGTACATCAAAATTATCTTCCTTCATTTTCTTTTCTGTTGTATCGGCCAAATATATATATCCAATTCAGTATTATTAATACTGTTTCCACGATTTTCCAAATATTTAGCATAACCGTCATCCAAATCTAGATCTACAAAACTACTAAAGGATGCAGTTGTAGTTGTTGAAGAACCAGTTGTCTTTTTCTCATTTTCTTTATTCATCATTTTCTTGTACTGAATAACTAACTTCTTTAAACTTTCTAGCACTCATTGATTTACTTCATTGCTTTTTTCAGAATTGGTACCATAAATCAACCCCAAACAATAATCAAGAAAAAACATATTGTTTCGGGGATCTAAAACTAATGCAATATGCAACAATAAGTTCATGTTATCCAAGTTGTCCCAATACTTATCATATTTCGCATTCATTGACAACGTCATATCTCTTTTTTTTTTCATCTTTGTTTAAACACATATTTGATATGGCTGCATGCATTGTGACTAGCTCCCCAACAAATAAATTTGATGTTACATATTTATTACCGGAAAATTTTTTTGTAACATTGTAAAAAATTTGTAAGAAATCCATAAAATTCCTATTGAAAAACAAATTAACATAATTAGGCTATTATTATATATTGACATATTAACATACTTAAATGAAGACAATAAAATACATACATAGCTTTTTCCCAGCCCTCGTCTTCGGGAGCTCCCAGAACTCGATCATTCTTCTTTGAGTTCTTTCTGTTTCTGGTACTACTCTTCTCATCATCATCATCGTCGCCTTCATTATAGAAGTAAGAACTATAATTGATATCAATCTCTTGAAGCCTATAAAAACCAAAGTAACAAACAATAACGTGTAGTAGTAAGAATGTATAGTAAAACAATAATATAAAATACCTATTAAATGCCTTTGAATATTTCTCGGCCGTTTCCAACATTAAGAATGTGGAATTCCATCGAGTCTCTACATCAAGACATGGTTTGCTTTTGCAATCAATCTTTTCATACTCAATACACTCTTTAAAGTTGTCATACCTTGAAGGAGATGATCTCACATACTTAATTGCTCATCTAAGCCATCTCTCACCACAAGGTTGATGATATGGGCACAACATCTTAAGTGCAAATATTTGCAATATAATATAGACTGAGGTCCCTTTAACATAGATCTTAAATATTTAATTGCTCCATCGTTAGATGAAGCATTATCAACGGTTATTGTAAAAACTCGATCTATGCCCCATGCTTGTAAGCAACGATAAACATACTTTCCTATCGTCACACCCTTATGGTTGGGTATTTGACAAAAATTTAGAATTCTTTTGTTCAACGTCTAATTTGTCATCAACCCAATGAGCTGTAAAACACATGTAATTAAAATTTTGGACTGATGTCCATGTGTCGGTGGTAAGAGAAACAATTTGATTTTTAGAAGTTTTTTAATCTTCTTTTGCTCTTCTTCATGTATTGATAAACAATCATTTGCAACGGTCCACCTAGATGGAATTTTGAACATGGGATTAATTTCCCAAAAAAATTCCCTAAACTCCTCATCATCAACTTTACTAAATGGCCTATTATCTTTAATACACATTCTCGCTAGGAATTTCCTAGCCTTTTCTTGATTGAAGTGATGAGAAGCCAAAGTACCCCCAGACTCCCCCTTTGTTGTTGGCTTGAAGTTTAACATAGCTTGTTTCTTCATTCCTTTTTTCTTGTAAAGTGGAGACCGTCTACATACATTCTTCAAATGGTACGACATAGCACTCTGTACCAATTTCTTTTGAACCACCAACCATTATAAGTGGACAATGGTCACATTTAACTTTACCATTACGACCCTTAACTTTCTTAAAATGATCCCACACGAAGGATCTCTTTGACCGACCACCTTTATTTTTGGCGTGTTCATCTACATTGTCCACATCATTTGTTGGTTGCTTTCATTAGTAACATCAATGACCGGATCCAATTCATCCCTTAAACTCGTATTTTGGTTTTTTGTGGCTTCTTCCATATAGAATTTTTTGAAAATATATTCATAATGAATTAGTGATAATATGACATCAACAGAATGGGTGAAGGCACTTAAATATTTTAGGCTTGCGTTAAAAACTATTTAAATTCCAATCTCACTCATATTTTGGTTTTTTGATGCACTATAGATGCACTTTAAATATTTCCTGAAAATATATCCACATTATAATTTGTGGATATGGGTTTAGCATTTTAAGAGGTCACGTAACAGTAGGATTGGAATTTAAACTCACTAAAGCAAACTTCAAAAACAAACATGGAACGAATGAAGACGTAAAGTACAGTAAAACACGGAAAAAAAAAACAAAACAAAATAACAGAAGGATATAAAAAAATACCTCAATAGTGAATCCGAAGGGGATGAAAAGGAGACGTTTCTATTTTCTAATATGCAAGTGGACTTCTGACGATGAAGATTGAAGAAGAAGAAGGGAAAAAACGAGAAGGGTAGAATGTCGCCGGTATTGTCAATAATCAAAGGGTTTTATTTTATTTGGGCTTTGGTATTTTCAATATATATGGACGATTGGACTATTGACGATTAGACGTTGGATTTTGAGATTTTCTAGTGAATCTATTTTATTATTATATAATCTATATATATTATATAATATAGGCGATTCGGTTAATATAGGGTCGATT